TGCCATTCCTACCGATGCCACTCCAGAATCTCAGGAAATGACCCCCGGTAGCTTCTGGGTGCTTTGGATGGCTTTTGGTTCATTAGCATTCCAGAGCAGAGAGGCGGGCAATTGGTCAGGACACCCACACCTCTACTGGATCACTCAGGCTAGAGTTCCAGGTCCACTCCCCATGCTAGCTTCCTGCTAGCACACACTCTGGCAGCAGACAGAGCACAAGGGCTCGAGCCCCTGCCACCCACGTCAAAGACTGAGAGTTTGGCTTCCAGCGTCAAGCCTAGCTTAGCCCCAACCACTGCAAGCAATTGGGGGAAGTGAGCAGCGGATCTGAGAGTGCCCTGTCGCTGTTTCCATCTCTGCCTCTCAAGTTAAAAAAAAAAAATCTACATAATATGCAACTGTTTCCTGGCCTTCTGGTAAAGATCAAATGAGAAAATCTGCAAGTCGTTTCTCATCTGTTCACTACCACGTGATGCGTTCTAGTGTTGCCATTATATTCTGCGCTAGAAACCCCTGGGTGTCAGTTTTACTGCTTGACAAGCTTCCCACATTTCATAATACATTCCGTTTATTATTTGGAAACCGACCTGCTAGCAAATCATCCCCTCAGTAGGAAAATGAGTCTGGTTGTGTTAGAGTGAAAGAAAGTTCAGCAATTCCAAACTCATGTTGCTGTGCTCCCCCACCAAGAGTTACAATGTAATTTGATTGCCAACTGAAAGGTGTTCTAAGGTCAGGCCTTGAGAGGTAACTAGGTCATGGGACTCTGTTCTCATAGGGATTTGTCTTTCTTGAAATACTGTTTGTTCTTGGGAGAGTGAGCTGTGAAAAAGTCCGCCCAGCACACTGGTGCACCTGCTCTCACGCACACCTGCTCTCACCACGTGATGCCATCCACCATGTTATGAGGCAAGAGGACACCCCCACTATATGCAACGACCTGCTCTTGGACTTCCCAGCCCCAAAACTGTGAGTCCAGTGAACCTCTTTTCTTCATAAACTACCTAGCCTCAGGTACTCTATTATAACAACAGAAAATGACCCTAGACACACTCCAAATGCTCATGTCTGTTTTACAAAATTAACTCTACTGCTGTAAGTCTCTAACGTCTGTTTTCCTACTGCTTCTTAGAGCTACTGGCAAAACTTGGCAGGAACATCACATGACTGCGCAGGCTCGACACTGCCTCTCTTTTCATTCCCTCTCATCTTGGAAAGAGACGTAATTTAGCTTCTTCAAAGTAAGTAACAACTTAGGGTAGATTTCTCAGAAGGAAATGATATTCCTAAAAAAAATTAAAAGGAGAAACTGAGAGGTGTGTCAGGTGATGTCTGTTGTGTTTGGCAAGGTTTGTGACATCTCTGCCTCTGCAATCAGCAGTGTCGTATTGCCTCAGTTTACCATCCAAGTACTGACCCCTTAGCAGATCTGCCTCTCAGATCTACAACCCCACCCTGACATGACTCCCACGTCATGTGCCATGCGTTTTACCACTAAGGTTTGTGTCTTACCTTGCTCATTTGCTTCTTAATCATATAAAGTCTCAATTAAAATCATGAGACTTTGATGTCAACAGATTAGAAAATGTCTTTAGCGTAAAAATTACGTAGAGTGGCTGGCTGTTGGATGACTAAATTGTATAAAGGCATTGTAAGAGACTTTGGTCGAGTGCACTTCAACTCGAAGGAGTAAGGACTGATGGACTAGTTCCATCAAGCCTGGCAACAAAGGAACATGACTTAGATTGGCCTACTCCTATGATCATTCCTCCCTTTGCGGCAAAGCAATAACAAATGCATCATCATTCTGATACTGGATCACGAGAATTTAGTCTACTTTTCTCTATGAGGGGGCAGAATGTTTTAAGATTTGTTTATTTATTTATTTTAAAGGCAGAATGACACAGAGAGAGGGAGAGAGAATATCTTCTAGTTAATGATTGACGCAAATGGCCACAACAGCCAAATTCCAGCTAGGCCAGCCAGGAGCCTGGAACTCCATCACATCTCCTATGTGGAGGACAGGGACTCAGGCCCTAGAGCAATCATCTACTGCCTTTCCAGGCACACAGGCAGCAGCTTACACCACTGCACCACCAACCAGTGTGACAAAACATTTTAGATATCTGTTTGGCTTTTGTTAGCTTATTAAAATTAACTTCTAAAATGTGACTTCCTTTTTCTTATGGCATCTTTCTCCAGTATTACTTTAATTTAGAGGACAATTTTCTTTTAGAACATGATAAAATATAAATACATACATTATCTTGGTATCTAATATGTTAAGTCCAGATATGAATGAATGTGCCTGGTACAATACAACTCTCAAGAACAGGCATTTGACGAAGCAATTAAAGTAATACTGAGGGGTCAACATTGTGGTGCAGTGGGAAAAGGTGCCACCTGTGACACTGGTATCCCCTCTCGGTACCAATTCTTGCCGAACTGCTGTGCTTTGGATACAGCTCCCTAATGGCCTGAGAAAGGCAACAGAAGATGGCCCAGCTGCTTGGGCTCCTGCATCCATGTGGAAGACCCTGAAGAAGCTCTTGGCTCCTGGTTTTGGCCTGGCACAGTCCCTGACATTGCAGTGGATGGAAGATCTCTCTGTCTCTCACCTCTCTGTATTTATCTTTTTTAAAAAAAGGATTTATTTCTTTTTATTGGAAAGTCAGATTTAGAGAGAGAAGGAGAAACAGAGAGAAAGACCTTCTGTCCACTGTCCACCTTCTCCTCGAGATCGCCTCAGTGGCGGAGCTGAGCTGATCCAAAGCCAGGAGCCAGGAGCTTCTTCCAGGTCTCCCATGCAGGTGCAGGGTCCCAAGGCTTTGGGCCTTCTTCAACTGTTCTCCCAGGCCACAGGCAGGGAGCTGGATGGGAAGCAGTGGCCAGCACACAAACCAGCAATCCATATGGGATCCTGGTGCATGCAAGGTGAGGACTTAGCCACTGGGCCATTGCACTGGGCCCCCACCTCTCTCTATAACTAGGCCTTTCAAATAAATTAATAAATAAACAAATAATTTTAATTAATTAACACTAGTTAATTAATGAACTAAAGCAAAAAGGATTTAACCTGCAAATATTGACCATGTGTCAAGCCTTAGCTAGGCAATAAAGCAACGAACATTGCTCCCAGACATTAGCAAATGAGACAGATAAACAAAGCCGCAGATTGTGACCATCAGTGGAGAGGGTGGTGATGTGGCCGATGACTTCCAAGGGTGGCTTCTGGTTGTAATGTAGTATTAAAATTCAGCTCCTTTCCTCACTTTGCTTTGCCTCTCAAAGAAAAGTGAGGGTGACATGTTCGAGTGACCTCTCTGCCCAGAATATATCCAGATATTCTAAACTCAGCTTCAGGTCACGCACTCTCCATTTCCTCTGCCAACCTGGGGCTCCACCCACCTCTGCGTGTGACGCTACCCTCTTATCCTTCAAGTCTTCCCGAGAAGCTGCCTAAGTCCACAGGTTTCTATTCTCTTTCTATGATTCTTATTTTGCTTTTACCAGGCATTTATAGTCCCTTTCAAAAATTGTTATTTATTTATTTGGAAGGCAGAGTTAGAGGGAGAGGAGAGACAGAGGGAGAGATCTTTCAGCTACTGGTTCACTCCCCAAATGGCTACAAAAGCAAAGCCGGGTCAGAGCAAAGTCAGAGCCAGGAGCTCCTTCTGAAAGAGTGGCAGGAGCCCATCTTGGTTGGATGGGGAGAGGAACAGCGGGGACTCAAACCAGAGTCCATATGGGGTGTTGGCACTGCAGGAGGCAGGTTAACCCACTGTGCTACAATGTCAGTACCTATATTCCTTTTTAAAATTTTCCTGTCTTTTGAATAAATTAATCAAATTTGTGGCTCAGTGGCTTAATCCTCATCTTGCATGTGCTGGCATGTGTGTGGATGCCAATTTATGTCCCAGCTAATCTAACTACCATCCAGCTCCCTGCTTGTGGCCTGGGAGGGCAGTGGAGGATGGTCCAGAGCCTTGGGCCCCTGCATCCACATGGGAGACACTCAGGAGACTCCTGGCTCCATATCTTTCTTTCTGTGTCTCCTTCTCTCTGTGGTTCTGCCTTTCCAATAAAAATGGATAGATGTTTTTAAAAAATTAATCAAATCTTGCTTATCATTGCATCTTCCTGTTATACATTTTTGAATGGTTGGCCTAGAAACTCCAACATGTACACTTAACTTAATATAGCCTAAAACAAAGTAGTGTTTTCACTACTGCCTCACAACCCAAGAACTTTTCATCACCTGGCTTCCTATTCTTTCTCCCCTGCCTTTCCTATTGCTTTCATGCATTTGTTTATTCCACACCTTACGATACTTCAAGAAGTTTGTGGAAAATGCAATCAAAAGGTAAATTTATTATGGTGCCAAAAATGTTTTGCAAATCATGCATAGCTTTTTCATGAAAAGCATGTTCCATGAACTTTTTGAAGACTATCTGTAGGTATGAGTTTCAAAATTTACTTCAGAATAAACACCTTTTTATTGGAGAGGCAGATTTATAGAGAGAAGGAGAGATAAAGAAAGACCTTCCATCTGTTGGTTCACTCCCCAAGTGACTGCACCAACTGGAGCAGAGCCCATCCAAAGCCAGGAGCTTCTTTTGGGTCTCCCATGTGTGTGCAGGGTTTCAAGGCTTTGGGTCATTCTCTTTGCTTTCTCAGGCCATAAGTAGGGAGCTGGATGGGAAGTGGTGCAGCTGGGACACAAAGTGGTATCCATATGGAAGCCAGCACTTGCAAGGAGAGGATTAGCCATTTGAATCATTGCACTGGCCCCAGAATAAACACCTTTTAATTCTACTTTCCATAAAATTTTGAAGTCCCCCACATATCTTTACTCCATAACACCTCACTAGTATTGATTTGTACAAACAATATTAGTTATGCTCTCTCACACATTGACCATGGGTGGGTGGGCGTTCTTTATTTTTATTTTTAGGCTTCTGTCTGAAAGAACTTTTCTTGTAGTGAAAAAAAAACCCTTAGTATTTATAATTTCTTATTTTTATTTGAAAGGCAAGAGTTATAGAGAGTTGCCTTGGCTCTGACCTGTATTTCTTATGTGTGTTCAGATTATTTTTATTGGAAAGGCAGATTTATAGAGAGGAGAGACAGATCTTCCATCCACTGGTTAGCGGATTATTTCTCTTTTAGCAGTAGTATTATTTTTTAAAGATACACACAGAGCACCTCACCTGCTGATTCACTCTCCAAAAGGCCCACAATGGCAGGGACTAGACCAGGACTGAAGAAGCTGAGAGCCAGGAACTCAAGCCAGCTCTCCGGTGTGGGTGGCAGAAACCCGGACGACTGGAGCCCACACCTGCTGCTTTTCAGAGTTTGCAAGAAGCTGGAGGCAGACACGGCAGCCAGACACGTCCCATTCAGACCTTCATCACCAGGCCCACTCCTCAGAACTTCTGTTGCCCTTGCATTCTTCCTAGGAAGAAATCAGTTATCAGTCTAATGATTGCTAAGAAGTTGGTTGCTTGCTTCCTTTTGTGTGTGTGTGTGTGTGTGTGTCTGTGTGTGCCCTTGCACTTGAGCAATTTGTGATCCTCAGGAACTTTCCTGTGTAATTATCCTGTTTGGGAATGCTAGACTTCTACCTCTTTAATCTGTGTGTCAATGGTTTTTACCATTTTGGAAAACTCACGCCCACGGTCTCCTCAAATATGGAATTTATTTCATTTTTCTCTCTCCCTGCACTTCCTGCAGTTCCAGTCGCACACATTAGGCCACTTCTGTTTCACGTGTCCCCCGGTTACTCTCCCTATTCCTTGTCTCTAGACCCTGCTGTATCCAATGTGATTTTAAACTCAGCTGAATTCCTTAGTGATAGAATGTCCACGGAATTCTATATAGTTTGCCAAAGTTATCTGTATTTTCAGCTTTTAAAGGGCCAATTAAGACTTTGCCAGTGCTAATATCTGTATTTGCCTATTTGTCCACTTTCTCTATTTTATTTTTAATTAATCTATTTTTATTACAAAGGCAAATTTATAGGAAGAACGAGAGACAAAGATCTTTCATGTGCTTGTTCATGCCCCAAGTGACCACAGAGCTGAGCCAATTTGAAGCTGGGAGCCAGGAGTTTCTTCCAGGTCTCCCTCAAGAGCGCAGGGTCCCAAAGCTTTGGGCTGTCCTCCATTGCTCTCCCAGGCCACAAGCAGGGAGCTGGACAGGAAGTGAAACAGCCAGGACAGGAACCGGCACCCGTATAGGATGCCTGTGCTTGCAAGGTAGAGAATCAGCCAATCAAGCCATCATTCCTACCCTTACTTCTCTGTTTTAAATGATCAGCTTTTTGAGAGTACATGTAAAACTCCATAGAGGGGCAGACATTTAGCTGTGCTCTTAGGATATTTACACACCTTGTGGGAATACCTGTGTTCAAGTACTGACTTTGATTCCAGCTTCCTGCCAATATAAATCCTGAAAGGCAGCCTCATTGGCTCATGTAATTGAGCTCCTGCATCCATACAGAATCCATGGATAGAGTTCGCGGATCCCAGGACTGGCCCCACCCTGCCATGGTCTTTGTGGGCCTTTGGGGAGTGAACTGCCAGATGGGATTTTTCTCTCTCTCTTTAAAAAAAGTTCATGTAGGAATCTAATGAAAACATGTTTATTTTGCTGCAACAGATTTTTTTTTTTAAAGATTTATTTTTATTATTTTTTCATTGGAAAGGCGGATATACAGAGAGGAGAGACAGAGAGGAAGATCTTCCGTCCGATGATTCACTCCCCAAGTGAGCGCAACGGGCCGATACTATGCCGATCCGAAGCCAGGAGCCTCTTCCGGGTCTCCCACGCGGGTGCAGGGTCCCAAAGCTTTGGGCCGTCCTCGACTGCTTTCCCAGGCCACAGGCAGGGAGCTGGAAGGGAAGCGGGGCTGCCGGGATTAGAACCGGCGCCCATATGGGATCCCGGGCGTGCAAGGCGAGGACCTTTAACCACTTGCGCCACCGCGCCGGGCCCGCTGCAACAGATTTTGAACTCCATTTATAACTCCATAATATGTATTTTTCTGCTAACTTTATTTTTAAAAAAGACTTATTTATTTGAAAGGAAGAGTGACAGAGAATTCTTCCATCTGTTGGTTGACTCATCAAATGGCCCCAATGGCCAGAACTGAGCCAGGTTGAAACCACAAACCAGGAACTCCATCTGGGTTTCCCACATGGATGGCAGGGGCCAAAGCACTTGCCCGTCTTCCACTGCTTTCCCAATCACATTATCAGGGACCTGGACTGGAAACGGAGCAGCATAGATATGGTATGCTGGTGTTACATGCCTTGGCTTCACCCACAGCATGCTGGCTCCTTTTCATGAACTTTCTATGTTTCTTCCTTCCTTCCTTCCTTCCCTCCCTTTCTTTCTTTCCCTCCCTTCCTTCCTTTCTTTCTTTTTCATGATGCAGTTTCATAGACTCAGGTATTTTCCGCTTCTACCCTCCCCCCACCCACACAGTTTCCCACTATACTTAGACAATAGTATCGTGTTTGTGGGTTTGTGGCCTGAGGAAACAGTGGAGGACAGCTCAAAGCCTTGGGCCCCTGCACCCATGTGGGAGATCTGGAAGAGGCTCCTGGCTGCTAGCTCTGGATTGGCTCAGCTCTGGCCATTGCAGCCATCTGGGGAGTGAACCAGCAGATGGAAGCTCTTTCTGTAAATAACTTTCCAATAAAAATAAATAAATCTCTAAAAATATTTACTTACTTTTAAAAAAGTCACTTATTAAAAAAAAAAAAAAAACCGGAAAGAGAAAAAGAGATCTTCCAGTCACTGGTGTACTCCCCCAAGTGACTGCAACGTCCAGAGCTGGGTCAGACTGAATTCAAGAACTCCATTTGAGTCTTCCATGTGGTGCAGAGGCTGAAGTACTTGGGCCATCTCCCACTGCCTTTCCAGGCAAATTAGCAGGCAGTTGCATCAGAGGAATAGCAGGGACTCAAACCTGCCCTTTTGGAAACTGGATACCAGTGTGCATGCAGAAGCTTAACCCTCTGTGCCACAATCTGACCCCTCCATGCACTTGTTGAAGGCTTCATGGGTGCGTCTGTCTTTTCACATACCTAAATATTTTTTTTACTGACTTGCAGGCACTGTGTATGTGTGCAATACGGTATCTTTCACCAGAGATAATTCATGGTTTTGGGAATGTTTATTTATTTGTACTTATTTATTTATTCTAGAAGCAGAGAGAGAGAGAGAAAGCTCTCATTTGTTTGTTCCTTCTCCTAAGGAGCTGATCTCAGCCCAGATATCCCATGACCCAACTCTAAACCATCGCTTGCTATCTCTAACCATGTGCCCTGGCAGACAACTGGAATTAGAAGCAGAGCCAAGACTTGAACCCAAGGACTCATGTAAAAGATGTCATCTTAACCATGTGATCAAACACCCGGTGCACAACAGGCGTGTACAGGTATGGATCACCACTGTAACATACGCAGCCTCGAATGTCAGACCGGCAGCAATGAAACCAGTGTTCCTTACATTTTTTTTTCATTATTACTGGAAAGGCAGATATACAGAGAGAAAGAGATACAGAGAAAGCTCTTCCATCCACTGGTTCACTGCCCAAGTGGCCGCAATGGCTGCCAGAGCTGAGCAGATCTGAATCCAGGAGCCAGGAGCTTCTTCCAGGTCTTCCACATGGGTGCAGAGGCCGAAGGCTTTGGGCTAGCCTCTACTGACACAAGTAGTGAGCTGGCTAGAAAACTCATATGGGGGTTGCAGTGGCATAGTAGGCTAATCCTTCACCCTGTGGCACCAACAATGCATCAATGCATATGGGCCTGGAAAAGGTCTTAGCTCATGGGTTCAACTCAGCTCAGTTCCAACTTGGCCATTTGGGAAGTGTACCTGCAGATGGAAGACCTGTCTCTATCTCTCCTCTCTCTGTAAAGTCTGTCTTTCAAAGACAAATAGATAATTTTAAAAATCCACATGTACCCATTCCGCATATATCCATTTGTACACAATAATGACCTCTTCTCTTTTTCTCCTTTCAAAATTCCTATCAATGTCTCCCAGTAGATTTGCCAAACTAAATTGGGTAGGGAAGGAGATCCTCAGAAATGTTGTTGCTTAATTCTCTGCAATGCAGATAAGCCCTTAAAACGGGGTGTGTGCGATGCCAAGCTGACAACAACCTAGCACAAGAAAGGCGTTTGGTTATGTCAGATTCAAGGGTCCACATTTTCCTTCAGCATTTTCATCACACAAAACATCTCAAAATATTACATTCTTTTTATTATTATTATTTTTTATTATTGGAAAGGCGGATATACAGAGAGGAGAGACAGAGAGGACGATCTTCCTCTGTCCGATGATTCACTCCCCAAGTGAGCGCAACGGGCCGATGCTATGCTGATCCGAAGCCAGGAGCCTCTTCCGGGTCTCCCACGCGGGTGCAGGGTCCCAAAGCTTTGGGCCGTCCTCGACTGCTTTCCTGGGCCACAGGCAGGGAGCTGGATGGGAAGCGGAGCTGCCAGGATTAGAACCGGCGCCCATATGGGATCCCGGGCGTGCAAGGCGAGGACCTTTAACCACTTGCGCCACCGTGCCAGGCCCAAAATACTACATTCTTAAAAGCTTATAATCTGTTAGTGTAATTCAACTAGAATACAGAAGTCCAAACTAAAAATGTCTTACATTGAACATTTTTGATGCAACTTGGTCTTGAAACACTTCCCTTCAACTGAAATGCTCTATGAAACAACATGGTTTAAAGCAGTCAAGTATTTTTAAATTTTTTTTTATAATTTTATTTTTAATATTGCATACATTGTTGAGGAATACTTGCCCATGTGGGCCTCTGATTAGTGTAGGGACAGTTGAGGTATAGAGGAAGGAAGGGAAAACCAATGTTTCAGTTCTCTCTTTTTAAAAATTATTTTTATTGGAAAATCAGATCTACAGAGAAGACGAAAAACAGAGAGGAAGATCTTCCATCCATTGATTCACTCCCCAAGTAACCACAATGGCCAGAACTGCACCAATCTGAAGCCAGGAGCCAAGAGCCAGGAGCCTCCTCCAGGTCTCCCACGTGGCTATAGGGTCCCAAAGCTTTGGACTGTCCTCAACTGCTTTCCCAGGTTGCCAGTACACAAATCGGTGCATATAACGGATCGTGGCACATTGAAGGCGAGGACCTCAGCTGCAAGGCTATCGCGCTTGGCCCTCAGTTCTTTTTTCCTTTCCTCCGTGTCTGTGGAGGGAAGGGGAGTGGGGGCCTGCTCCTTGCAGCGCCCAGGGACTTAAGAGTCCCTGATATGGGAAAGAATGTTCCAAGGATGCTGCTTGAATGGTCTTAATAGTTCTGAGATGTTGTCAGCTTTGTTGTGCCAGAGTTGAGAAAATCTTTCCAAGGTGCATTGGCTGACCAGGTCTATTTCAGTGTATGCACAGACCTGGCCACTGGTTGCGGAGCTTGGCCAGGAGAGTTGTTCAATCTGTTCTGCTTTCCCTCTGTTGATGAGGTGCCTGATGTCCTCTACTGACTTAGATGAGCTGGCTGGCATATGTTTCATTTGCATCTGGCTGTGTTCCCAAGCGTGGGCATCAGCAACTGAGGAGGCCCAACACTAACACATCCACTCCAAGTCAGGCCATGTATCGTGTGATTTCCCCTGAGGGCCACATTTGAGCCCAGCCATCTAGCTGGGGGTCCCCCAAGAAACCTCACCTAGGGGGTTCACTCCCTACGTGACTGCAACAGCAAGGCTGGGACAGGCTAAAGGTAGAAGCCTTTCTGGGAGTCTCTCCCATGGGTGCTGAGCCCCAGGCACCTCAGCCATCCTCCACCGACTACCCAAGCCAGTGGCACAAAGAAGGATCTCAAATCAGGCCCACATGGGACGTTGGTGCTGCAGTGGCAGCTACCATCACAATGTCAGTCCCATCTTTTTGTTTTTAACCTCCATAAGTGAATGTAGCTTTACCTGAACTAAGAAAAATCATATATGAAAGTCTCTTTCAATTCCATGTATACTATTTTTCCACATGGTCAAACGATAACCTAGCAATTTATCTTTCTCCCTGATACCCTATCTTGCTCCAATCTGGACTTAATATCCTGTGATTGTTCAGCAAAGCTGTCACCTTGCTACTGAGCATGGTGGACATCTTCCAGGAGCCTTTGAAAACAGCGATATGGAAAGTCAAGCTTGAGATCTTGTATGTCAAAAACAGTTTTGAATGAACATTATGGGTAATATAGGTTGGAAAAGCCAGTATATTGAAACCCAAATCTGTTTTCTTCCGGGTTTAATGAGTGTTCGATTAACAGTGCAACAGGGAAAATGTCCATTTGGGGAAGGGTATCTCGAAAAATTCATCGCATCTACTCGCTCCCTGCTTGGACACAGTGACCTTGGAAGGTGAGAAATCAAAGTATCAGTCTGTGGTCACCCAGATGTGATAAGAAAGCCGCTCCAAATGTAATCCTTGCTCTTGAATGCTTTTTTCTTTTTAAGATTTTTATTCATTTTTGGGTTCTGAAATTTTACAGTGCAATGCTTTGGTGTGGGTCTTCTTCACTCATTACACTTGACATTCAAAGTTACGGAATAGCTTCTTTTATTATTTCTTTTCAATAATCCACTCCACCACTGACTTTTTTCACCTTCTGTTGGTCTGGTATTAGTCTCCGAAACCTTTAGATTTTCTGTGGCTTTTGTCTTTTCTCTTGGCTTCTTCAGAATGCTAAACTCAGGGATATTGCCTCACTGGCATCTCCAAACACATTGAAGAATTTTTACTCTATGATACTTTTAACTTTCAATGGCTTTATTACTTTGATAACTCCTCCATCATTTCCTATTGTTTTATGAATGCAATTTTCCAAGAAATCTTTGAGCCCATTTTTTTTTTCACCTCCACATGTCTCATAAAGATCTCTTTAGAAAGCATGATTTTCTAAAGAGATCACAAACATGGCAAAGGCTTAAAGCAGTCAGCAGTACCTTCATATCTGTGTTTTCAATTCTCAGCCAAGAAGTGGATTTTTGCAACAATACTTCTAATATTAACAACAAAAAAATATTTTTTACTTTCAAATGTAAGAAATGTATCAAACTTTAAAAACCAAGTTCTTTTACTAAAACTCTTTACAGAAATATTTTTGAAGGATGAAAAGTTAGCGAACAACCTTTCAAGCTTAAATCATGGAAGGATATTTTATCACGAATTATTAAAATTATATTTTGAAATAAAAATAATCCTTTGCTATTATAAATATTCTCATTTGTGGTCTATTTTGTATCTCAAAATAAATTTTATAACAATTTCATTTCATCACCTGTTAATGTTTAACCAACATTAAAGCTGAAAACATTTACTACCTATATGTTTCTCATTTTAGATGACCATTTTATTTCTGAAAACTTAATGATAATCATTATTCATGAGAATTAAATATTCTCATTTAAATACTCAAACATAATACATTACATATACAAGTTGCTCAAATGAAGAAGAGAGTCTGATTTGGTCTTATAAATAATTAAGTTAACTGAAAAAGAACATTTTTTTTAGTGAGTTTCAAAATTAGCCTACATGATTTGTTTTATCTTTGGATATCTACTTCTATTTTTTTTAAAGACTTATTTTATTTATTTTTATTGAAAAGGCAGATTTACAGAGAGGAGAGACAGAGAGGAAGATCTTCCATCAGATGGTTCACTCCCCAGGTGACCACAATGGCCAGAGCTGCACCAGTCCGAAGCCAGGAGCCAGGAATTTCCTTGCAGTTCTCCCACGAGGTTGTAGGATCCCAAGGCTTTGGGCCGTCCTCAACTGCTTTCCCAGGCCACAAGCAGGGAGCTGGATGGGAAGTGGGGCAGTCAGGCTTAGAACTAGCGCCCATATGGGATCCCAGTATGTTCAAGGCAAGGACTTTAGCAGCTAGGCTACCGTGCCAGGTCCCTGAACCATTCTTAATGTATTTCCAGGATTGCTTGGGTAACTGACATAGGTTTTACACAGAAGCTTTAAACCAGTCTACTATACAGGAAGTGAGCCAAAAAAATTACTTGAAGCTACAAAACCTACCACCACATGAATTCCAGTTTCACCTTACTGCTTTTTCCTTCTCTTGTAAGTGTCGCTGGTGTGAACCCGCACTCGCTGGTGCACAGAGGATGCGATTTTCATGCTGTCCTTCTTCGCAAAGGTTTTCTCCACGGCTGCAGGTTTCCAAAGCAACAACTGTGCATCTTCTCCCCCCGTCAGCAAGGAGTCATCACATACATTCCAGCAAAAAGATCGGACTGTGGCCGCATGCCCTCCCTGCAGAGCGGCCACATGCGTCAGCCCTGATGTGGTGCAGTCCAGTAAGTGAATCCTGCCTGTGTTTGTTCCTCCGATAACAAACAATTTGTCCATCTTTTCATGATAGAGGCCGCCAACCAAATAGTCCAAAGTACCTTCTTTCACAGTAATTGTCTCTCTGACATCCTGGATGCTTAAACGTGTAATGGGTTCATCGGTATCCAAGTGATTAAGGTCCCACCAGCAAAACCCTTCATCATGTGTCATGCAGTAAATCTGTTTATAATCTTTCCCAGACCAACCTATATAGCTTACTGATGAAACTGAGTTACAGGTTGTAACCAGGGCATCCTCTTCATTATCGATGCTAATATCAAACACATTTACCAGGCCATCAGTTGAGCCTGAGACCACGAGGTGGGGGTTGCTGGGATGGAATCGGACCTGCGTGATATCATCACTGTGTGTTTCTGAATAGGTCCCAAGTGGGTCTTTGGCAGCAGACAAGCCTTGAGGATTAACCCTGGCATCCCAGAAGACCAGCAGGGCATCATCATCAACTTTTTCTGTACCAGCACAAATGACATGGTCATTACAACTGATGTCAAAACTGATAAAGACATTGGAAGGGTAACCCTTGAACTGATGAACGGGCTTCTCGCTGGCTAAGCGAGCATCCCAACATTTCACAGTGCCATCAGTACACGCTGAATATACACTATCACGGGAATTTGCAAATTTGACTCCACTCAGAAGCCCGGGACTGCCACTAAATTCTCGTAGTACACGTAACCTTTCTTTGTCATATATTCTGATGGATCCACTGGAACACAAAGCAGCGACCAAGCTTCCCTCTTCTGCACGTACAGTCCTGGAGGTGTCCACGCCAAGCAGGTAAGTAGGCTCTTCCGTTCCCGAGGAGCGTTTAACAATGTGTAGGTTGGCAAATTGTTCCTCAATCTTCTCCATATCAAGAGGGGCATCCGAGGGCAACAAAACTCTGCAATCAAAGTATAAAAGTTAAACTTCCTTCACTAGAACTGCAATTAAAGGAAGGGTTATTTTCTTTTGGGGTGGGTAAAGTGGTACAGCAAATTGTGTCACCACTGGGACAGCCACGAACCACACCAGAGAGCCTGGTTCACGTGTGATACAGCTTCCTGCCAATGCAATCCTGGCAGGCAGAAGTCCAGGGGTCCTGGCTGCAGCCTGGCCTGCCGGGGCTGTTGGAGCTATCTGGGGACTGCACACATCTCTTACAATTAGCCATAAGAGATGGGTTGCTTGTAAACAGCTGAGGCTGTAAATGTTCCCTTCAACACTACCTTGCTACATCTCATGAGTAATGAAGTTCTAGTTTATAACTGTAATTCCGTCAGCGCCACAAGGGTCATGCACTGCAATCTATTCCTACAAGGTTTTTGATTCCAATTTTCATCACTCTTGCGACGTATTAGTATTTTTGCAGCCTGTTTGTTAACTTCATGTTGATGAAAAATTTATTATTCACGCTGTTGTGGACTGCGCATACCGGCTCTGTGCTTTAGGAGATACATAGTGGAAGTGTAGTGGGGGCTGGTATGTTCAGATATGATCTCTATGCATTCACACCAAAGTTGGCCTCCCAGTGAAAGAATTAAAAATACCCTAACGGTGTGATGCTGGACTTTCCGACACTGTCCAAGCCAACATTGTCTGGAAACACCTCAATAACAGCACGATGGACTTACGACTGTGCAGGATGGACACCCATTGTACAACTAGAGGGGAAATCAATGGGGGTGGGAGGGACCTTACAGAGGGGCACAGGTAACCCCAGAGCCTATGGAAGTATATCATAAAACAAAATAAAACAAATGTTTTTAAAGACTTACTTATTTTTATTGGAAAGTCAGATATACAGAGAGGAGGAGAGACAGAGAGGAAGATCTTCCATCCGATGATTCACTCCCCAAGTGACCGCAACAGCTGGTGCTGCGCCTATCCAAAGCCAAGGAACCTCCTCCAGGTCTCCCATGCAGGTGCAGGGTCCCAAGGCTTTGGGCCGTCCTTGACTGCTTTCCCAGGACACAGGCAAGGACCTGGATGGGAAGTGGAGCTGCCGGGATTAGAACTGGCATCCACATGGGATCCTGGCGCCTTCAAGGTGAGGACTTTGGCCACTAGGCCACCACACGGGTCCAAAATAAAGTGTTTTTAAAGAAAAAAAAATAAAATAATTTTTTTCCTCTGAGAGTGGGCACAGGAGACTAGAAATAAAATCTAGTATTTCAATCATCTCCCTACCATGATATACCTAATATTTAGTTGCTTTCTAATTCAGTCAATCTTGATGCTAAATTTACCATATATACTTTATGCTAGTTAAGGCAATTAGAAATTAAGGCACTTCAAAAAACTTACAGAAAATGTAATTAAGATAAATTAATTTTGGTGCAAAAAGTTTTTGAAACCCAGGCAGTTTTCCTCAAAATATGCATTTTCACAAACTTTCAGGATCTTTATAGCTTCTACACATTAAAAAAATTTGAACCAAAAGGCAGTTGTCTTTTTAATTCCATTTTCCATGTACTTTCTGGGGCACCTTTGTACATATCTCATTTAGTAATTCCTTTTAGAGTCAGATACTAAGCCGTGGTACTACCCACAGTCATGAGCCAGGAACTGGCATCGCCCCCTCTGCATCCCAGCTGCCTTATATAGCTTTAGCATTTAATCAGAGATACACAGGACAAAAAACACCACCCCATAGATGCCCATGCCTTAATCCCTGGAACCTGTGACTAGGGCAAGTCACGTGGCAAAGGGGAATTGAGGTTGCAAGAGGAATTAAGGTGGCTAACCAGCCTTATTTAAGGCTGACCTTAAAATAGGAGGATTATCCTAGATTATCTGGGCAGGTCCAATGTAATCACAAATGTTTTTAAAAGTAGACGCGGAAGGCAGAAGAGGGCCGGAAGGAGATGCTGCTATGAAAGGAAGGCTGCTGGTTTTTAAGATGAAATCCGGAAAAGAAAAGGGAACCTCCTTCAGAGCCTCCAGATGGCAGCACAGCCCTGGGGACACCTGAATCCCAGCCCAGTGACATGTGTGAGATAACAAACGCTGGCAGGCAGCAGGAAACCACACCCAGGAGGCTTTCAGCACAAAATCTCCAGGCGGTGCTGCCGGGGCAGGAGCTGCCTGCACGAGGGATACTACACAGGCCTTCAGCCTTCAGGGACTGTGCCCCTCCCTCGGCATGGCCTCGCCACGCAGGGTGCAACGCCAGGAAGACATGCACGACTAACAGCTCCAGCACAAGTTCTACTGTGCTTCCTATTAAGAGAATATTCTACTCTGCTGCACAAAGTCACAGTCTCACACTGAAGATGAACATCTGTTTTCCATTACATTAGTGATTCAGTTTTAAGAATTGTCTTACCGAGCCAGGCACAATGGCTCAGTGGCTAAATCCTTGCCCTGTACATTCTGGGATCCCATACAGGTGTCAGTTCATGTCCTAGCTACTCCAATTCCCGTTCAGCTCCCTGCTTGTGGCCCGAGAAGGCAATAGAAGACAGCCTAAAACCATGGGACCCTGCACCTGCATGGGAGAACCAGAAGCTCCTAGTTCCTGGCTTCAGATTGGCTCAGTTCCTGCCATTGCAGCCATTTGGGAAGTGAACCAGTGGATGGAAGATCTGTCTCTGTAAAATCTGCTTTTCCTATTAAAACATAAATTTTTAATTTAAGAGTCCATTTTATCCTTTGAAATTATTATCTTTCCATTTTTAAAAGGAAAACTGAGTACAATGTGACCTACAGGATTAGCAATTCTATCACAGTGACCAACAAATGCAGCGTTAGGATGCCACACCCCATGTTGGGATGCCCAGGTTCGACTTCTGGCTGCAGTCCCAATTCCAGCTTTCTGCTAACACAGACTCTGGGACACACCAAGTGATGGGGCGCTGCTCCCTGTCACCTGCTCCGAGTTCCCAGCTCCCCGCTCTGCTCTGACCAGGCCTGGATGCTGCTGGCATTTGGGGAGCGTACCCTGCGTGTTCTCTCCCTCTGTGTGTGGCTGGTGTGCACGTGGACCGCAGACCAACAACTGCCTCTTTCTCTCTAAAAAATGGTTGGATGTGTGCTCAAAACAAATATACATATTATTCCCAATCCTTGAGTATCTAAAACTGAAGAAAATGACAATATCACAGGTGGTGTCTTTACGTGCTATGCCACAAGGCTGGCCCCATACTGAACATCTCTTAATCACATTAGAGGGGCAGTGAAGCCAGGTCTGATCACTGCCAAAGGCGGCAGCAGAGAACTCAGAGAACTCTTCATCTCCAGTACAGTCTCCACTTTGTAATCAGCAAAAATCCACGGGTGAGAGCTCTGAGATCGTAAGACCTATTTGCCAAGTTTGGGGAATGATTTATTGGAAAAGCAGATTCATTTGGCTTCTTTATTAAAAAGCAAGGCAAGAGTATGCATGAGAGATGTTTCATCTGTTGGTTCACTCCCCAAATGCCTGCAACAGCTGAGGCTGTGCCTCCCAGGTCACACACAGGGAGCTGGACCGGACATGGAGAAGCCAGGACTACCAGCAGCACCCATGCTGATCACGCCACACCAGCTCTGGCACTCTACTCCTGGTTTTTTTTTTTTTTTTGACGATCTTTATATACTTGATGAGAGCACAAAGGGTCAAGGGCCAGAGGAAAGCGGGTAAGAGCATTGTTTTCACATTCTCTTTTCTCTTTCATGTATCTGGGAGAAGAGGGCAGATAAAGGGAGAAGCCACACCCAGCCTCCCGCCCCATCCCAGGTCCCCGGTGTGGGACACACTCCGAGGGGCCTGCTCAAGTGGTTTGGATAATTCAACAGTTCAGTATTGCTGCTGATCTTGCCACTCCAATTGCAATGAAATCTCTCCAGACTCCACTGGCTGACGCAGTCCACCTTAAAGTCTCCATTTGCCCTGATATTTACTGCCAAATTATTCCTGTATTTTTAAAAAAGAGTCTTTTTTCTCTCTTTGGATATCATTAAAGGAGTTAAGATTTTTAAAAACTGTATTATGGTACCTATTTTCCATCTGGACTGATGTTCTTTGTGTTTTTTATTTATTGAACTCTTAGAGGAACCAACAAGTCCTTGATTATCATGTAAATTTAAAATGCTATTTCAGAAAGATAACATTTTTTATTTTTGTTGAGAAAGACAATATTTTTAGAAACTGTTACGACCCATCTCTTTGCTGTTCTAACTCGAGCACTGAGCAGCACTTGCAGCCAGCTTCTGTGCCTGAACATCACAGCATCTGTCTGAAAGCCCTACCTGCAAAATCTCTGCGAATTAACCAGATGATCCTGTAAGTGGTGAGCTTCCTAAAAGTTGAAACTGCTTAAATACTTTAACTTACAGAGGCGTGGGAGACAGCGTAGCAGATACTCCAATATGTACCACCCAGATTTAAGATGCTAACATTTTACCACATTTGCGTCAGATTTAATTCAAATAAGTACAACATTACAGACAAAATCAAAACTTGCTCATGTGATTAAGAATTTACCAAACTGCCATTACAGTTATAGATCTCATTTTGTAATTTGCTCCTCTCACTCAGGCTAATTTTTGAAAATCCCTATTCTGTTAAATGTATGCCCTTTTCCTTGCTATTAATGAACAGCCACTGAATAAATAAATGCATACTTTATTCAACTTTCATAGTAAAAGCTGAAGAGTTGTAGGAAGAACAGAATAAATCCAAAAGGACATGACATGGTTCTGTGTGTTTGTAGGGCCTTCTGTCCGGACAGTAATAAAGGCATTCTCTCCAATGGTACTTTAAAGTACAAAAAGGAAATTTTGAAACAAATGTTGCATTTGTGAAGAAAACACTACTCAAAAACACTTTTTGGCCACACACTACTGAAATATGCCCTAAAAAATGTATATTTAGCTTGGGAATGCGCTGCCTGTATACCAAAAGGAAGAAACCTCACACCC